GCTTCGCGGCTCGGTAAATATCCACCACTATTCACCTCCACTTCTGTGAATAATTGTTAAATATTAAAATACTGCGGACTACTACTTCAGGAGTATCTGTTTCTCATCATCCGATCAAAGAGATGATATAAACCAAAGGGATCACTTCATAGGCACGCTGGTTTATCATCAGCAGGAAAAGTCACGTGATTAAGCAATCGGATTACTGAGTTTCCAGTTCGTCCAGCTGAGTACAAATGCTTCTTCAGGTGTTAACGTCAATGTTGATCTTGACATTGCTTGTACAACAGTTTTCTGGGAAGATGCTCAAGACACGAGGAAGCTCGAAAGAGCTGAGATATTGTGCTTTCCTGGCGTTCCAAGCGAAAATAACTATTAAGGGTCAGTCACCGGTCCTCAAATCAACGTAGTAGCGAGTCACTGTTCTTTGCTCTCATGTTACCGGAGATAAACGAAAATCAACTCTTAAATCCATAACATGTTCGTATCCCTAGGCACTGGATGAAGACCTAGAATGGCTGGACAGCAGTGCGGGGGTGGGGCCACCTGCTACTGTTCTTGTAACGCAACCATTCTGTTAATTCTATTTCCACAAAATCAGCGAGTGCTATCTCGTGGAACTGCCCAGAAGGTACCTATTAAAGAACAACAATAGAAAAAAATTAAAAAATTAAAAAAAAAAGATTATTCAATGTTAGCATAGTACAGCCAAACCTTCATTACCAGAAAGAGATAAATATGACGCGTTTTTATTACTGACCCACACACAAGATATGTAGGCGCCAGGAGGTTTTCATTGCGCGCACCCCTGAAACTTACGAGTTACGTTATTACAGCAAGAGAAACAAAATTATATAAACACTACCTCTACAGCACGGACAGTTAAAAGTCTGTACCTCTGGTATGCTACATCGATGTTAAAGACATGAACAAACCTTTCTCAGAGTACTAAAATATTCACGCAAAAATACACAGGAGTCTTACCATTCGTTTCTGCATTTCACTGCTTCTTTTCGGACTAATCTCTTTTTATCATCGACTGAGTCAGCTAACGCTCTACATACTTTGGTTTTGTAAGGGTACACCTGCCAGGTAACATTAGAAAATAGTCAAACACATATTAAGAGCTGATACGTCCAGGACCAGACCAGGAAGAAAAACAAACTCAAGAGAAACCTACCGCATGGTGAGGTAAAGTTGTCATTGCTCCCAAACACTTGAGAGCTTCCATTCGAATTTTCTGAGAATGGGAGGAAAATAGAACTAAAATCACAAAAACAGCATGTACGTATTGCATAAGGCAGGCTTACACGACGTTTCCTGCCAATTCAAAAGCATTTTTAGTAAACTATCAGACCTGCCATTTCAAGTCCTGATGGTATAATTAGCTAACAGGTTAAGTCTCGTTCTACAAAAATCCATCCACTATAATTGGGTCTCATGAGACTGAACCATTTTTCAGAGCTGCTAAAAATCCTACTAACAGTAGTTGACAACAAGGTGTTGTGCTGCTTCTCTCTAATTTACGAAGGACAAATATACTTAAGGTCTATACTAATGAATTACCATTGATAGCTGAAACTTTGACAATCCCAGGAGCATGGGAACTAATGAAGTCACGTGACGTGTAATAATCTCAGGAGCATCCAGCACTAGTGAATACAAGGTCTGTAATGTGGACAGCCTCAAACTCTGTTCCTCACAGGACAAAGATTGAACCAATAGCGGCATCAACTGAGGCGGACAAAAGAAGACAGAGTTAATATGTTTTGATTGGCCAAAGTGGTTTAAGTGATTGCTGTGATTCGGAAAATCAACTCTTTTCTAAGCCCTGAAACGACTCATCAAGCTAGTGATGTTACTTACATTTGGCAGCTCGGTGAGTAGAACCTGTTTTGGGATCCACTGCAGGAGATGAGACAGCGCACAAAGGTAATGATGCTTAACGACTGCAGAGAGAAACACCGCAAGGAGTATAGATAAATGAACAGACTGGTTTGGACAGTACAATAACTAACACTCGTCCCTTTTAACTCTCTCCTTCTTCGGTCGCCAATATTCTTATCTCAACCTCGCCCTCAACTCCCATAACCTAACCCAACCCCACCGTCCAGTCCTCAAAACCTCTATTTACAATGAGAAAAGCTCACAGAAATGGGCCAGTTCAAGAATCAGATTAAAAATATAGGACATCCTTTTAAATAAACCAATTATACAAAACTTTCGGTTAAAATGAAGAAAATTGTTTTATATCTGTACACAGGGTAAGGTCGCCCACAACATAAACGTTGTAGAATTTCTCAGGATAACTTCAACATATAAGTTGAGTTCAGCCCTGCTGGGGTATATAGCCTACCTGGCTCTGCAGAGTGAAATCCTTGTATTAACTTGGGAGCAGTTTCCATGAAAAGCCGCTGACGGTACATCATCTGACAAGAACAAGAAGGAAACAGTTTTGAACCCTCACTCTGACAAATACATAATAAACACAAAACCAACTATTATTATTATTATTATTATTATTATTATTATTATTATTATTATTATTATCATCATGCAACCTCCTTTCATTTTCAAATTCTTCCAAAATAGACTTAAACCACAGAGAGTTAAAGTAGATTACGAATCACAACTCACCCTGTAATTAACATGCATTTTAACACTCATGACTTCTTCATAATCCGCCATGATGATATAGAAACCATCTGCTGCGACACGGCCAACATATTTATCAACCAGCAAACTAAAAACCTACCAGAAAATTACATGTGAATACCGGTACTGCCACTGTAGGCTCTAGGGATTGTGGGTGGTCACACGTTCCGTCCCAACAATCGTCATGCATTCTTGACCCTCCCCTCCCCTCCCTCCCTCCCTTCCTCCCTCTCTCCCTCCCACCGGACATTGTTAGTAACTTATGTTTTGAAATCTTTTCAGTTAGCATAATACTGAGTCGAGGATAATTCAACCATACCATTGGCAAAAAGCGACCCAAATTACCATTGCAGCATTAGCTAGTTAGGCACTGTACGTTTTCTTGCGTATTGCCTAACAAGAAAACAAGTTCAGTACGCTTGGGTGCAGGGGGAGTGTAATTTTGAAGTCAAACTATAATGCAAAAGGTCCGTCTTTCAGAGAGTAATGGGAATACGAAGGGACCACTTCCGATTGAGAAGGCTTCGTACGAAGACGACCATTTCCATCAAGTAACAATTAAATGACAGCCTAAAGGAGGGCCTTTTCTTAGTCTAAAGAGACATGGTATCCTTCAGTTTGTTACATTAATATTACCAACCAAAAATGTCACTTACCTTTTCAATAAATTTAGGTGCTAATGCGTGAGAGCGGATCACTACTGCTTTAGTCAACTGCAAGAAAAAAAATCAGTACTAAAGATATAATCTTAGTTCTTGTTGTCTCCTTGTGTCCGTGGACTGTCGGAATAACACAGTGACAAACTAGTTTGTTTTATCAGCCAAGCAACCGTATACACTTAGAAAATGTTTGAAAGATTTTTGTTTTCAAAGCACATTTTATTTAGATATTAAACACACGCGACGTGATTGAAAAAAGGTGAATGGCAAACTAAACACACACCCAAAGCCAAGTTACTGTGGCTCGTTTTAGTGAGTCCTCTTTGCCACTGACTTGCCATATTTTGCTCATCAAGTCGTTTACCAGTGAAGTTAACTCATCACCTACCAGACAAAAAAAAACATCATAAAACACAAGGAACTGGACAAACGGTTTTCACTAATGATGAAACTCTTGCTATCTTTGGTGTTGATCTGTACGAGAACTTACTAGCCTATTTACAAAAACTCGACCCGTATAATAGCAAAAAGACTAGTTGATGAAGAGCTGAATAATGCCTTCTAAAATTCAGAAAACAAAGAAAGCAAAGGACAACGTTTCCGAATAGAGTTGTTTTTTGTGATTTTGGAGAATCATCAAATCTGAGCGATTTAAGACAGACAAGACAGGCCGCAGAGCTGAGCAACATTGCGGCTCTCTCATGCAAATCTAACGTGGCACATGGTAAGAATATTGATCTTTCCCACACTCGTAAGTGCATCACTGCAGAAACACAAAAACAAGAAAGTCCACAACAACTGCCTACCTTCAGGCAACTTGTTAATTATCCCAGCCAGACACTGGGCCCCACTCTCTGCACTTCTGTCATGACCACAGTGACATGCTAAATACTGGAGCCTGGGGACTAGATCTGAATACCTTGGAATAACAACCTTACAACATTCACAAAGTTGTTAGTAAGTGTTTGAGCAAAGGTTCAAATGGTGCTAAGAGTTTCAAGTTGGGTCTTATAGCACAAAGCATCATAATCAAGGTCATCATCATTGTCATCATCGTCATTAATATTGTCATCATCATTACAAGATTGCAACAAGGTAATTTAAAGGTACATTACCTCTCGTCTTGCAGAGCATAAGGTGGCTGTTAACAATGATACCAGCTGAGTTTGTTGCCATGGTGATGTACTCTGAAAAAAGCCACAATGAACTGTTGTAATGTTCAAGCTTCCAACAAATTTGACAGACTGCATAAACCTTATCTTTAAAAATAAAGTTAAAGATTAAAATTTACCTCGAATGGTGAAAATGTTCTATCCATTATTGCTTTCCGATAGGGAGACTTTTCGTCTAAATAAATTCCAGCAAAATCTTCCAGAAGGTCATGTGCTTCTCTGTAAGGAAAAAGGAATATGAGACAGTAGTTATAATAATGTCAACCTTTGTCAAATTCAATGGGAGGGGATGTCCAGAAATGTATTGTAGACTCCAAAACCTGTTGGCAAGAATTGCCAGTGCTCAAGTACCAGGCTATTCAAAAAGACTTTTTTATTACTTGCCACAAGATAAAAGGAATTAACACACATGCACACTTCATTTGTCTACAGATCAAACCTACTTGATATCTAAATTACTTGTGACAGTCCTGAAGATGGCACTAATTTTGTCCAAAACATCCTTGGACTTGATTCCACTAAGTATTTCCTTTGAATCTGCAATTGAGAAAGCAGAAACAAAAAACGGAAAAATTCAAGAACCCTTTATACATGGAGAATCATTGTTAAACCTGATAAACTATTACTAAAAGTTATCATTATCAGGAATTTCAAAGGTATTGCTACTAATCAAAGACAAGATGAATCTACAAATTTAGAAGAAAAGCACTGCAAATCACTTTTCCCACATCTGAATGGCAATGAGTTATTTGAAGATGGTAGACTTATTGCACACCTAAAATGAATCCTTTAAAAAATATCCCACTAAGCGATAAGTGCTCAATTTTCCAGTCTATTTCCAAGCTATAGGTGTCCTCTTCAACCAAGAACATTTTAACCTTCCTGCATTGTTGATCACATGGACATACCCTTTAAGGTGGATTTCAGTACAATCCTCATGATGTCAGGAATAAGAGATTGTTTGAAGTATGCAGCTGATGTAAATCCTTTTTGAAGTGATCCTGATATGACAAACAAGAATAGATGGAAATAAAATCTGGTGGAACACATCCCATGTTCCAGCACATTTTATAATTATAATGAGTCAAATAATAATTATTCTTACATTTTGATCGGTTCTTACTTATGATCTATTGAAGGACAAATGCATAGACAACATCATTAACATTTTTTAGTTTATTTATTATATAAAACAAGAAGATCCCTTGTTGCCATTTGCCTGTTCAGCAACACGTCAAAATATGGTAAGAACATCAGTGACACACTTGGCTATTGCCTCATGTGCCACTTTTGTGTTCTTACCACATTTTGACGTAATCTGTGATCTATCACTGAACAGATGTATGGCAACGTGTGGCAACATGGAACAAATTATGTACATATTATAGCCTCAATAATGGCGTTAAACAGAATAATTCTTTGATAAAAAGATTCAAATATAGCAAAGCCAGATTATGATCAACATTGTTACAAAAAGTGCTCTTTGGACTTACACTGGAAAATGCTTTTAGCATAGAGTCTACTCAGAAGTCAGAAACTCCTAGAATCACCAAACATCACACTATTTAGACCCTTTAATGAGCTCTATGCTTTTTGGAACAGCTTTTATTATGGTCACAAGAGATTCATGAAAAGACTCAATGATATAGTTGCAGTATAGCCTTGTCAAACCTCCTACGCAGATATTGTCTTAGCTTGTCATACAAAGGAGTACATGTCGAGCCAAAAGAACATCAGCAAAGGAGAATAACCCTTGTACAACACACCTTGAACAATATTCAGAATACACTGAAAAACACTCTTGATTTGGGTCTGCAAATCATCACAAACATTCTCTGATGAAAGAGAAAATCATCATGAACAACAACACCAAAATCCAAAAACAAAACTCCCTCTAAGCACTATAAATCAATTCTTAGGTCAGTGTTTCCAAATTACATTGTTTAACACAACTAATGTTTGTATGATAACATTTTTCATTTCATGGCACCTGAGTTTACCAACAAACTATTGCACTAAAGTAAGGGAGATCGTGCTTTGAGACATGCCTGCCCAGTGTCTGTGCAACACACTTTACTAGCTCACAATGCTACCCTCCACCCTGACAGGTGTAAAAGTGGGTATGGGGAAATTGTTTGTACAACGCGATAAAAATGTTGGGGTGATGACAACGAGATACTACAACGTTAGCACCCAGCCAATCTCAGGTTAGATGCAATGATCACACTGAGGTTGCACTGACAATGATCAGTCCTAAGGCTGCTCCTGTAAAAATGCAGGGGGAGTGGGGGGAGGGGGGGGGGGGGGTTCAANAATCAGTCCCACCTTAGAAATGTTACTGGTAAATCCCTATGATTTCACATTTCTGCACATATTGATAACACAAAGTGAAAGTCAGTTACAAGAAATATTTATTTTACATCAACACAGTTAGCAAATCATCAAATGAATACAGCATGACATTTCTGAAGAACAGGAAGTATAAAGCTAATATTATTAACAGTACTACTTCAATTGTGTTGCCATTAAAGGACACAACACCTCGGTGTGGCAGATTGATTTAGCCCTTAGCTTTGATCTAGTTGAAAGGTCACCAGTTTGACATTCAGTTAACGTGGACTAAAACCACATTGCAATACTGTTGATCTACACTGTCTTTGAATGGATATCTTTTAATTCATTAACTTGCCTCCTTTTCAGTCAACAGTCCTTTTAATTCAACAAGGACCATAAAACATTCCACTGCTGTGGCACACAAAGACAAGTTAACATGGGATAAGAATGAAAATAAAGCAGTAGAAAGGGTCTCCTTGTACTTCAATACTGGGCTATCTAAGGAAAAATTTAAAAAAGCCAAAATTAAATTAAACTTATCTAACATAATTCCAATGCATTGAGGCTTCTGATAAGAAACCTTAGTAATACGTGAAAATAATTTTAAAATGGACTGAAGAACTTACTGACTCACAGATAATCACACTTTTATACCAAGCTAAGATTACTAATAATTCTTGCTACTGACTGGTATGATACACATCTCTTTCAAGATTACTTCTGAAAATTTCTTGTTACATCAAGACCACTGCGATATTCCCAAAGTGATCAATGATTTCCTCATTCTTGTTATCTGTCTTCCTGACAATTTATTGATAATGTTAAGAAAATCTACATGATCACTTGAGCAGTAAACTTAGTTTTCCTAGTTATCAATCCATTGATTTCCAATCCAACCAGTGTTTGTGAAGTCATTAACATGTCAGCTAAGGAGAAAGTTCTTTGTAAGTAGCACAACATCCAGACATATTTTTACATCTCATACTTACTGTCAGCCTGTCTGTGAAATGTTTTGACAGCTTTCAGAAGGTTCGTGATTGTGCCAATAAAGATCTTTTTGTGAGAAATCTGAAATCATAACAGAAAATTTAAAAAAAACATTTTAGGTCTGTTTGGTTACAGAAAGAAAAAATAGTGCATGCTATCCAGAATTTAGTTGAAGATAGGTCTAGCACCATGGATGAATGCTTACAGCTGGATAGTGTGCACTCTGATTGAGTTATTCAACATCCACTATTTTCCCCTCCATTTGATAAATAGCCTAGTGCTGACTGTACTTGATAGCTAAGATTTATTTATCCCAGAGGAACTATAGTCACTGCAGGTAAGGCTTCTGTTCAATGTTAGAAAACAGGCCTTGAATTTAATCAAATGCAAGAGATGAAGGCAGTATCTCATTTACACTTACCTCAATGTCTTGTGTCAATTGCTCCAACAATGGCGNTGATTGACATTTTGGCATTTCATTAACACTTAAAACTAACATCATTCTATCTCAGTTTCCTACAGCACATATCACAAATATGTAACTTTAATGTTATGATGACTTAATTACCTCTCTCAATGAATTGTAGAAAGTCGTCATATTTCTCCTTAGTAGTTTCCTTCGAATGGAACATGACACAAGAACATGAGTTACCGTCCGTACCAATAAAAGATAGTTTGGAGTTTACAGCACACAAATATGTATAGTTGTATACTAACAAGGTTTCATAATAAAACAAAGTAATGTGAGAGGTAACGGGTTAGACTATACATGTAACTTGCATGAAATACACTCTGCTGCTGAATAGTCACGCTCAAAATGTCTACTAGGCAAGCTTATTTAAGGCACTTAAAATTGTTTAAAATCAGCCTGACTCACCTTGGTAGACCCACAGAGATTTCTTACAATGCTTGTCACTGCAGTGAGACAGGCTTCCTACAACATGATTGACAATATAATTATCTACCATAAAAAAAATGATCTTTTTCAAGTCAATTTTTTTGAAATGATAGCTCCTAGCTTCTGTAACTTGTTTACTTGTTTCAATTATGTTCTGATAGTGCTTATGGAAGTCCTCCTCTTGTTAACTTACGGGAGGTGAGATCTTCAGCTAGTTACCTAGTTTTCCCTGTGCTATATCACTACAACACCTAAACTTACCTCTAGCACAGAATTCACAGGATGAAAAACCTGAAAGGGCAAAATATATTTAAAATAAAAACGTGAAAAAATAGTACGGTATTCATTTACAAAAATCTACATTTCGAAAAGTGACAAAATCCCAATGCAAAGAGGTTCTCAGATTGCATTAGGCTCCGCACACACTAACCAATTGTTTTCTTAAGATAAGGTTAAAACTTACTGCACTCTTAATAGCTGTCCAAAGAGGCTCTAAATATTCAAATAAAAATCTGCTATCATACACATCCAAGCAGGCTGCCTATTGAAACAAAACAATAGTAAAAGCAAATTGCTATTTTCAGTTTAACAAAATTAATAGACTCCATGTTGCCATGGATCTGTTCAGCAACAGATCAGACATGATATTAAAATGTGGTAAGAACAAAAAGGTCTCGCCTCCATGCCACTTTTTTGTTCTCGCCACATTTTCACGTCTTTTGCAATTTATTACTGAACAGATGCATGCCAAGGTTTAATCTATCTGTTTTATATGATAAAGAAACAAAAACGAAATGTTTATGATGTCATCTATATGTCTGTCCTCTAATTTATCATAAATGAGAACCAAGCAATATATGAGAATAACTTGCCTGATCATATATTTAAGAAAAATTGATCATAATTTTCCTAAAAACTAAAATTGTATAATTTGGGTCAAAGAACAAAATGACTTACAAGGGTCAAAAGGGAATCAATTTTGGCATCGACAATATCTGATGACAGCTTTTCCATCAAAAGTGGAAGACAGAACTGTGGAATAATCAACAAAAAATCTCTGTTAACACAAGGAGTAACTGTCTGAGTAAAAAATCTCAAGTTCATAGTAGGGACCTCTTTATAAAAATTCTACAAATTATATTAAAATAAACAAGTAAATCACTGAGAATAATATAGTGTAGGTTTTAAGCATTTGGGGTTTAGCACAAACCTAACATGTACTATTATTTTGCTAACTATCATTCATTTCATCCTTTTAATGATGTAACAGTGCTGAAAATTTAATTTCTGTCAACAACAATTTTAGCATTAAATATGAAACTATTATCTCCGACAATTTAGTTCCTGATTTTCTCTATCCTCATTATATCTCTTCTTGACAAAACAATGATCATGATCATCTATTGTAGTGAGAAATGGGTTTTAATCCCTCTTAAGAATGAATGAAAGCTTGTCTTGTTATCAATACCTAATTATCATACCATGTTCAACTGCTTTCCAAAATATATACATTTGCCCTTTGTTTAAATTTCAATGTGAGATATTTACTGATTATTAATTAAATTGTTCATCCAACATCAACTCACAGGAGCAAACTGGTTTGTAGCGGCAAGACACTTCCGCAAACTTGACACCAGATCATCTTTCCTGATTCCATATGGATCATCTGCTGGCTAAAAGGAAAGATACATTGAAACAGAAAACTGAAGAATGGGGTGGCGAATAGACCTTATAATAAATAAAATAAGTATCCCATGGCAGTCAGGGTTCAGTCAGTCGGTCAGCCAGTCAGTCAGTCAGTCGGTCAGCTGGTCAGTCAGTCAGTTGGTCAGTTAGTCAGCCAGTTAGTCGGTCAGCTGGCCAGTCAGTCAGTTGGTTAGTCAGTTGTTCAGTCGGTTGGTCGGTCTGTCGGTCTGTCAGTTAGTCGNTCAACTCACAGGAGCAAACTGGTTTGTAGCAGCAAGACACTTCCGCAAACTTGACACCAGATCATCTTTCTTGATTCCATATGGATCATCTGCTGGCTAAAAGGAAAGATATATTGAAACAGAAAACTGGAGAATGGGGTGGCGAATAGTCCTTATAATAAATAAGATAAGTATCCCATGGCAGTCAGGGTTCAGTCAGTCGGTCAGCCGGTCAGTCATTCAGTTGGTCAGCTGGTCAGTCAGTCAGTCGGTCAGTCAGTAGGCCGGTCAGTCGGTCAGTCAGTTGTTCAGTCAGTTGGTCGGTCCATCGGTTGGTCAGTAGGTCAGTCTGTTGGTCGGTTGGTTAATCAGTCAGTCAATCGGTTAATTAGTCAGTCAGGTAGGCGGGCAGGCAGTCACACGACAGTTAGTTAGTCCACTACGTCACAGGTATAGCCCCAATGGATGAACAACAACTAANACATGTCTCAGTCTAAGAGCCACAGTCTAATCCTGGTGCACGCACATCACTGACTACCATGGAAATGCAGGAGCTCTTTATTAACTCCATTATTGCATTAAAATACACTGAATGCTAAATCCCTTTCCCCAAGCAGAACCCCTTAGGCTACGTCCACAGAGAATTTTGAATTCCCACTATTGAAATCATTGTTTAAATCCTGAATTGATCATAGTAATAAACTTGATAGCAAGTAACAGACATCCTGGATTTTCAGCAAATAAGAGAGCTTCAGGACTGGGTTTCTTTGACAGTGACAGCTCGTAAAGAGGTTCCCTGTAGGATGGTATGACAGATGCTTTATATTCTCAAAATCTCAAAAATAAGCCCAGCAAAAAAAAAACAAATTAGTAGAATTGAGGACTTACATGTATTATCAGAATTTTAAAGCATACATGTACATGTAGGCCTTTGCAAAGATTACCTGCGCATGAACTTCCTTGAATACAGTCTGAATAAGTTTCACACAGTCTGTGTCTTGGACATTTTGATTTGTCACCTGCAAGGTACAATGTATGTCTCTGTAAGAACCCTCAATCTCTGTAAATGTGGTCCAGGGCTCGAAATTGCGACCCACTGGTTGCCAATGCGACCAAAAATTGAGCACTGGCGACTAAATTTTCAGAACTGGTCGCCAGCTGACGACACGATCGCGTTTCGTCCGATAACTAAAGAAAACCAGGACACAACTTTTGTTTTTAAATTTTTACATTAGGAAATCAATCGGATCTAGTAGCTAGTGTACAATTCACCTTTC